TCTGGTATTTGTTTCCTCCGTCAAGCTTCCAGTATTCAGGCCTCTACTGCTGTCACTTCCCTTCCTACAACAATTGCACAGGCTTCAGGTAAAGAAAAGATTCTCACTTACTGTTCTCCTTCACAAACTTTCTTCTAATCTCCACACTGCTACTACTGCAAACCCTGACGCTGGACAATAGGCTGGGTACATCCTGTGACCCAGACAAACAACTATTCACTCGTATTGAGTCATTCACATCCACAGCTACAGGCAATTTTATCACTAGTTAATCTAAACTACGTACATGTCTTTGGATTGAGGAAGCTGGTGTACCCAAAGGGAAAATGACAGCATAAGCATTTATTTTTATGTGCCCAGAGACACACAACGGGGTTATCTGTGACATTCTACTGCATAAAGGAAGTTTGTTACTAATGTTAAACATGTAAGGCTCAGTTCTGCTTCCTGGAACTAAATGGTAAACCGAACTCTTGGTATTTTCAAACTGTAAACATTTTCAAGCCAGGATGTAAAACCAGATATGTGTTATGTCCCTCAGTGTCTGATAGCTGTTTGTCTGTAACACAACCAGTCTGACCTGAACTTTATCTCTAGGTACCACAAGAGACAAATGCATGAACACAAACATCACAAGCACTGATTCGGCAAACTGATTATAAGCACCGATCATAATCAAATCAAATTCATCAACAGGTTCCATATCTTGTTTAATTCATACAAAAACTAGCTGTGCTATTTCTCAGTGCCTTTTCATATTTGTCATACAGAAATGTTAGTCACGTCAGTTTTATCCACTTCCCAGCAAGAAAATAAACAAATTCTCCAAAATGTTTAACAATTTCTTTAGATTAAAAAGTATAGTTGCCAACGTCACTACAAAGGCCTGCATTGAAAATTTGACCTGAGTACATGAGGATGTGATTAATGTTGTCTTGGCCTTAGAAACTAGAGATTTATAAAGTGTGCCATGGTGTGTACCAGACACAGAGGGTTTAAAAAAAGTTCCTACTGGTTGCATCATGGATAATACAGGACCCTACTGTCAGAATATCTCCCTGTCTGCTGCATGGCTTTGACCTCAGCTATGTTTGTTTGTTTCTTCTTACAGCAATAAAATACTTTCTTAATGTCACTCTGGATGTCACTGGACAGGAAAAGAATGAATCTGTCATTAAGACCTGGGTACGTAGGGAAACTGGTTATAGACAAGTTGCCTTTTAAAATACCTCATGTATGATGTACGTATATACCCTGTTCAAATGTAACGAGTATCATGTTGTTTTCCTCAGCTTGACAATGTGTTCCAAAACAACCTGAGCTGCGTGTCTCTAGAAGTAACAACTACAACACTGACTTCTTCACAAACTCCAACCACAACATTACAAAACAACATGTCGACAGTGTTAACAGGAGCCAACACAACTACAGCTACAGCACTAACCACATTAACAAGCAACGCAACTACAGTGCCAACCACGATAACAAGCACCAACGCAACTACAGTGCCAACCACGATAACAAGCACCAACGCAACTACAGTGCCAACCATGGTAACAAGCACCAACGCAACTACAGCTACAGCACTAACCACATTAACAAGCAACGCAACTACAGTGCCAACCACGGTAACAAGCAACAAAGCAACTACAGCTACAGCACTAACCACATTAACAAGCAACGCAACTACAGTGCCAACCACGGTAACAAGCAACAAAGCAACTACAGTGCCAACCACGATAACAAGCAACAAAGCAACTACAGTGCCAACCATGGTAACAAGCACCAACGCAACTACAGCTACAGCACTAACCACATTAACAAGCAACGCAACTACAGTGCCAACCACGGTAACAAGCAACAAAGCAACTACAGTGCCAACCACGATAACAAGCAACAAAGCAACTACAGCTACAACACTAAAAACTGACAGTACAACTACAGCTACAACAGCTCAGTTTACCACAGTAACTCCAACACAGAACAATCGCTCAACAACCTCTGTACCCGGGACCACAAGGTCTCAGCCACCTAATGGTGGAGGAAATCAAGGACAAGGAAATCAGGGACAAGGAAATCAGGGACAAGGAAACAGAAACAAACACTAAAAACTGACAGTACAACTACAGCTACAACAGCTCAGTTTACCACAGTAACTCCAACACAGAACAATCGCTCAACAACCTCTGTACCCGGGACCACAAGGTCTCAGCCACCTAATGGTGGAGGAAATCAAGGACAAGGAAATCAAGGACAAGGAAACGGAAACAGCAAAAAGCGCAGTGTTCGCGATGTTGGAGATGCAGTGTCACCAACCAGGTATCACTGCAACAATGTCTTATAAAACTAAATAAATTAAAAGATTGAAGGTCCAAACATTATCACAGTGTAGTCTACAAACGGGCATTTCACCAGACCAGCTTTTAAAAAAAAATCAATGATACGCATGATTTAGCATAAAACTCCTTTTCTACTGTGGACAAAAGGAGGAAGTAATGAACAAAAGTGTCTGTGCATCTTCTGCTGTTTACTGTTGTAACGGTGCTGTGTAAAAGTGAACTAATGAAAGTAAACCTGTAAGTCCATACTACAGGAGCAAGTAACATTATTGTGATTTATTATATTTATCAAAGATGAAACTATATATTTTTAACAGCTGCCACTGTGGCCACTAGTGGTAGTTAGAGGAGTTAGAGCATAAACAATTTTCTTTTATTTCCCAAGATCCTCTTGAGAGACATTAACTTGAGATTTACTTGAGTCATAGAACCATTAAAATGTGTGTCTGTGACTTAAGGTAGCATACAAGATAATGAACTGGCAGTTTTACAGCTATAATGTATCTGACTTAAAGTTGCACCGTAAGCTCCTGGTCAAACCAGATCAAGTAAGGTTATAGCAGCCAAATGTCTGGGTTCATTAAATTATAAAAAGGTCAGTGCTACTGCTTTTGAATTCAGCTTTGTATTTGTAAAAGTAAAGTTGCAATAAAATCCATCTTGTTATCTACATATTAATGTTGTCTCAATTTATTTTTCAGTAGGAGCAGTAATGACGCAGGCCTGGTTCAAGTAAGTTAACATTTAAACGTATCTGTAGGTTAAAGTGTGTGAACAGCAGGATCATGTGAACCAAGACTGATTTATATTTTTACAGAACCTTTCTATTTCATGCACCACAAACACTTCAGTAAAGTAAGTGAAGAAGCAAAGTAATTTAAAATGACTGAAACCAACTGTAAATGATCTATTTTCTAACACTGACCTTATACTTCAGTAAAACAGTGTGTTCTGTGGTGCTGGAGCTGACTCAGACGGTATCTACATGTTGTATCCTTCGTACTATCTGTGCAGCCAGTAAGAATTCCTCTGGCTTCCATGTGGTGGGAGCACAAGCTACGCTAGGTCAGTGCTGAATACTATGAAATACATATTTACCTACATGAGAAGTTCCCACAATGCAATAAATCCTCTGTGTTACTGAACAGGTGAGTCACATAATAAGTGCAATGCCAGTCGACAAGACAGTTGCACTTACACGGGTTCAGCCAATAAATCATGGTAAGATGCCTAACCCTTATTTTACCTTCATTAATTACCAACAAGAAAAAAACATGTCATTTTTATATATTTTGAAATCGTGCTTTTTTTGGTTTAAAGCAGAATGTATTAATTGATCTTCAGGGAAATATTGCCTTTGCCTTTCTGTGTCATTTTACAAGCTTACAGAATTTATATCATTATGTTTCAACAGTTACGAGTCTGGAGCTACATATGTGGGAGGTCCGAGCAACTTGACTGACTGTGGTCCAGGTGAGCTCTGAGCATTCCTGTCACATCTTCAAACCACAAAAAGTAAAGGAAGTATTCAAACCCTTTAAGTTTTTTTTAAAATGGACCAAAGTTGGACTTTTGTCAATACAACACATTATGAAGGAAGGCTTTACACGTTTTAGACATTCTTAAAGATAAAATGAGGTTTCAAGTCAATAAATATTCACCCTTTTTCAGCACCGAGCACCACCACCTTGCCTGTAACTTCATATCAGACAACCATACCACCTAGCAACTCCACCTCTTTGTCCACCACACGTAGTACAACAGCTCAGATCTATACAACTGGAACAGTTTCTATAACCAAATCAGGTTTGTAATCACCTCACTTTTGTGTGCAGCATTTACATAATTATAGTATTGTTGTAGTATCTCCTTTTAAATTCTGTTCACAGCAGCTGAAAGCGAAGCTGATGAGTTGTTGGACCAGACCAGAGATGTGTCCCAAATCACCTCCAGCACCGTGGATCAGATAGTGTCTAATCTGAGTCGCATTTTGAGTGGCCAAACTGTCAGCACGACGCTGGGAAATACCTCTGTTCACATCGTCAGCAATCTGCTAGGAGCTTCTCCACAGAAGCTGGCCAACTCCTACAACAAGTTACAAATGAATTTGTGATATTCTCTAACATATTGTTTCCAGTTAAAGACATTAGGTGGTATAACTCAGGGATTCTCAACCACTGTTGCACCTCAAACCTTTTTTATATTGACAATTTTGTTACAGACTGCACTACACCTTTAGTAATTTTTTTTTTTTTTACAAGTGGGGTGTTAAGAACATATTATTACATAATGTGTTATGTAACACCAAGTAATGAGTTACACCCAACACAGCTAATAACCTATTTATCCAAAGTCAGTACACTGATGTTGGGGATGTGAACAGGGTGATGATGGAAAATGCAGCAAAGGGCTAAGAGCCTAAAAAGCTGTAGAATTATTCTGCTTTTTTTTCAACAAATCATTGAGTCTACAATCAAGCCCAGTCGCTTTTGGTTTAATTATGCTGAATTATATGACTCATATGACTGAAAATCTAAACCAAAAATATTAGAATTATTGTTGTTTTGTGCCGTACTAACTCATTTCTATTTCATCAGTATTACAAAAATTGTCGAAACTGTGGGGCAGAAGCTGATCCTTGAAGGACATAATGAGACACTCATGGCCTCAGCTCTGACTCTGTGTGTGACACCAGTAGATGGCAACAACTTCCAGGAAACATCTTTTTCCATTTCAGACCCCTATCATGTGCAGGTATGATACGAATCTTGTAGTTTTATTAGGTCGTACATCACATCATCTGTGATGCTGTCTAGTTCTGAAGTACTTGAATACTTCCATTTGCTGCACTGTATGACTACTCATTCCAGAAGTATTGTACTATTTACTCCGCCATTCAAACACATTAGTTCGTCTAAAACTGCTACAATTTCAAATTTACTGATATTTATTTAATTATTTTTTATAAGTGGACGAACTAGTCTGCAGGACTGAAGGTGCTTTGTCACAGCAAATGAATGTTTTTCACAGCTGAAACACCGCCATGTCAAATCATGGCGGTGTCTTGCTGCCATGGTTTACTGAGACATTTCTGTAGAAAAGTCCTTGTCATTATCTGTTTCACATGTGTTTTCACATGTGCTTTATATACAAAACTGTCTAGTAATTATTAGAAATTAGTATATGCCATGACCTGTACAGTGCTGTAGTTGTTGAGCCTAGGTTTCTCTGTCCATGTCTCACATGTGTTACAGGTCTGTGGGGGCTCCAGGCAGAGACGAAGTGTGAACATGGATTCCTCCATTCCTCAGGGCTCAGTCAGACTGCCTTCCTCTCTCATGCAGTCCCTAACCTCAGCGGAACAGCGTCTGGCCACTCGGGTCCAGTTCAATTTCTATCAGAAGAGCACAGCGTTCCAGGTCTACACACTGAACTACTGTAACATCCCACTCAGAGCAGGATATGCATTATCATTAGTGTAGCTAAGGAGATAAAAACACTTACTCTTCTATTTTGATTAAAATACAGAAATGTGTTACACTGATCATCTGTGTTATTAATTTTACTGTATATCCCTGATTAGAGTTTTAAAGCAAACAGATGGGTTACATTTTAAATTACACACTGATTCATTCTAACAACTTGTGTTTCTTGTGTTGTCTCGAAATTGCCGTGCAGGACAGATCTTTGGGACAAAGCAGACTTATCAGTGGGATCCTGAGTGCGAGTGTGGCCAACCTGTCAGTCAAAGGACTGAAAGACGATGTTATAATTTACCTGAGGAACACAGAGCCAATTCCAGTCAGTTTTCAAAAACTGTCATTTTCTACACAGAAAAATAGCACAATGTCTACGTGGACGTTGCTGAATGATACAAGCTCTTTTGCTTACAGGGTAACTTTACGGCTACGTGTGTTTTCTGGGATTATACATTAAATTGTAAGTTTTTTTTAAACAAAGTCTATTATATTTAAGTCCACCAAAAATGCCAATATACCTCATGTGTGTATTCTACTGGCAGATGGATCAGGTGGGTGGAATCCAGATGGCTGTTCAAAATTCCCCCAAAATAGCACAGACGATGAGACAGTTTGCAGCTGCAACCATTTAACCAGTTTTGCTATCCTGCTGGTGAGAAATGATCAGTTTTCCCATTTCTAGTTCTGCTATTTGAATCCTGATTCTAAAGACCCCTTCCACCCTGCTATAAATTTATTTTTCTTATTTTTCCTACAGACTCTCAACAGGCAGCCTGTAATCAGTCGTGAACAGGCCACCATCCTCACCTTTATCACATATATCGGCTGTGGAATCTCTGCCATCTTCCTGTCTGTCACCCTTCTCACCTACTTGTTGTTTGAGTAAGTATTCTGAACACTGCACACATCCAATATATAATAATTACCAATTACTTAGTATGCATCTGCATGTTGATTCTACCACTAGCTGTCCCCAAAGTTGAAGCGCCTTCTGGCTATGTTATAATAAAGTTAAAGAACTTTTTAAACATAATTTATGTTTCAAAAAACCTTGATTTTTTGTCTCTTTTAGTTATCAGATACTTCATAGTCAGTCTTTTGTTAATAACTAAGAAAGTGCTAATATTCTACCAGACATTTTTCAGTTTTTTAAATTCTGATGTTGAGGTAGATTATCTGCTGTTGTCGAAAAACCAGTGTTGCCCGTGTAATTATTGCCCTAACATTTTTTTAAAAGAATATTTTGGACACCAAACAAATTACAAAATACTGTATATAAAATCAAAAAATATTACTTTGTTCCTGAGTTCACAAATAAATCTCGTGCAATATAATAAAGTGCAAAATTCACAAAAGCTAGAAGCCATTTTCATAACACTCTTGTTCACTGACAGTAGTCTACTGAAATATTTCTTGATGTCTAAACCATCTGAATCCTGCAGGAAGCTGCGCAAGGACATCCCTGCAAAAATTCTGATCCAGCTGTGCTTGGCTCTGCTGCTCCTGAACCTGGTCTTCCTGGTGGATGCATGGCTGGCGTTATACACAGACGCCGTGGGTCTCTGCATCTCCACTGCCTGGTTTCTTCACTACTTCCTGCTGGTTTCCTTCACCTGGATGGGACTTGAGGCTGTCCACATGTACCTCGCCCTTGTGAAAGTCTTCAACAGCTACGTTTCACAATACATGCTGAAGCTGTCACTGGTTGGCTGGGGCATCCCAATGATTGTGGTCATTATTGTCATTGCAATTAACAAGACAAACTATGGTCTTGTCTCTTATGGAAAGTTTACTGATGGCACTAATGATGGATTGTGAGTCTTGTCGCATTGTCAAACACTTTGTCTGTAGTTAAATGTGCAGAGTACAGAGCAAGACAAATAATGAACCCTTTATTTTCTCCCATTCTCTCCCACAGCTGCTGGCTGAAAAATGACATTGCCTTTTATGTGGCAGTGGTGGCATATTTCTGTGTCATTTTTCTCTTCAACTTCATCATGTTCATTGTGGTGTTGGTCCAGCTGAGTCGAATAAGGAAGCAGAACCCTCACAATGTGCAGCACCGCACCACAGCGCAGGATGTGCGCAGCGTGGTGGGGATAACCATCCTCCTGGGCCTCACCTGGGGCTTTGCCTTCTTTGCCTGGGGTCCCGTCAACCTGGCTTTTATGTATCTCTTTGCCATTTTTAACTCCTTGCAAGGTGAGTTGACTCAGAGGCAGGTCCATTAAAACCCAAAGGAGGTCATTTTTGTAATAATGATGGCTCCATGGCAACTGGTACAAGCTAAAATCACTGGGTGAAAATTGTTTGCATTGCTGAAATAAGACAAATAACCGAACTGAAGGCTGAAAGGGCGAGAAAGTGTCAGACACGTTTAGCCAGGTTATCTAGACCACTTTGTTTGGAGGCATGGGTGGATTACTAAATGGTCCTACTGGGCACAGACACAGGGACCCATTGGGTCAGGGGTACTGGTCAAAGCCCAAAATGACTCAAAGTAACTACAGACAGAGACTACAAAGACTCAGAGAGATGCAAAATGAACACTACCAAATGAGACAAGACTACTACATTAAGACACAGAGGAACCACGGAGAAACTCTAAACTACATCATTTGTAGTTTTGTTTTCTTCAGTCTGGGGGTCTTGGGGCCTAGGGGTCCATTGTTCCATAATTTGTCCATGTGGAGACTGAAAGAGGACCCAAAATGTCAGTAATACCTCACTGCATAAGAACATGTGTACAACTTTGGCAGGTATGGTAGGTCAAAGTTGAAGGATGAAGTTGGCCTGTAGACTGTAATTAGTGCTTACAGCAGAAAGCCTGGCTAAAAAATGTACTATTTGCCTTTGTCTTCTAATTAGTCACACTTCTTTTTTTTTCTAATCGATGTCAGCAGAACCTCAACGATTCCCTTGATGACTATGATATTACAGATAGAAATGAAAAGATGTAGTCTCTGTCAGGTTTCAGTTTTGTGATGTTCACATTTTATGCAAGTGGACTCCCGGTTACGTCATATATTGTATGGTGTTTAAAACAAACAAAAGAAGACTTCCGTTCAATATGTTGACAAATTTCAAGTAAAAGTGTGGACATCTAATAGACTCGTACCTAAAAAGTGCATGTTCCAAAACTGCAGGTCCAAACCACTGTAAACTGATTTGATATGACAAACTGTTTTTGCATTACACAGGGACCTGACAGGAAGCAGACTGGTAAACTAACATAACCCACTTTGTAGCTGTGTTTGGAACAATTATAACTAGTCTCTTTTTTCTTCATAGTCCTGTACCGGTATGTCTGAACTGATGACATTTGACTGTAAAAGGTTGGGTGTGGCATCACAAAACAATCAGTTTCTCTTTTGTAGGTTTCTTTATATTTGTGTTCCACTGTGCGGTGAAGGAAACCGTGCGGAGGCAGTGGAGGACCTACCTGTGCTGTGGCAAACTGAGGGTAGCAGAGAATTCAGGTGAGATTAAAACCTCACTCTACCAGTCAAACTAGAAATGTTCACACAGAGTACATTAGATGCATTACTCACACAACAACTCTGGATTCCATCTCATCCTATTACACATTCACATTGTGGAATCTTTGCACAGAGTGGAGTCGCACCACAAATAAAACGATGAAAAGGTCACCAACACATAATTTCTCATCTGGCTCCACTTCTTTCCTCGTCACTGATTCCCCGGAGCAAGCTAATGGCACTGGTAAGTGAAGACAATCTGCCGTTGTGACTGTGAGATGTTTAGTTACAATTAGACTCCTGATTTGTGCAGTTAATATAGGTTTTGTAGCAGGATTTACTCAACTTGCCTGACTACCCATCAAAATTTTGGACACACTCTCCCATTGGGAAGCTGTAATGTACTGTACTGTGTTTTCCCTACTGCTGCAACTCTGAGTATATCAACTTATATCTACACTCTCACAGAAGTGTGCATTAGGTCTACACATAGATTAAAAAGATATTTCTGATTCACAAAATTAGTGTTCCATTTCTTTTGTAAAATCTGTTAGAAATGCTGACAGTAATGCTGCGTTGCAGGTAACCCATTTGAAGACAGAGTAATCACAGCTGATGAAGATGGCCAAATAGATGTGATCCTCAACGAGCTCAACAACCACAGAGACCAATAAACACCCTGATGCAATAAGGGCAGAAATACTTGTATATAATGCAAATAAACAAAATTATTTATGAATTATATCACTGGAAAGCTAACATGTGGTATTTTCAGTTTTTTATATTGACACTTTGCACAAGAAACCTGAACCACCTTCCTTCCATTGCCACAGTAGCATCAATATAACTAGTGAACAGTGGTAGTGTAAGTATGTATATTTATTTGCCTAGGTACTGTACTTTTGAGATATTGGTACTTTGAGTATTTCATTTTCTGCTGCTTTATACTTCTACCCCACTCAGAAAGTCCTTTACTACATTTTTTCACAGCTATCTTCAGATTAAATGTTTAGATAAAGAACATACAGTATGATGAGCTTATAAAATTCATCACACTTTAAGACTAAACCATTTGTTTTCAAATGTTTTGATTTGTGATCCCAGTCCAGAGTTAAATAATCAAAGACCATTTTCCTAAGAAACACATTCCAGAACCCAGAGATATTTTGTTTACTCCTCATATAAGACTAAGGCTGGAAACCTTCACTTTTCATAAAGTGGAACCAGTGACTTGTTGGCACCATTTCCTCACACTGTAATGAACCTACATTGTTTTCCTGCTCACTGTTCATAGTGAAATGCATTTACAAATTAATAGTCACACTTGAACAATTGCATGCAATTCAATGCAGCGCTTTTGTCTTGACATCTGTGTTTTTGAATCTCAGAATGTTTCAGTTTTTGGTGAAATTGTCAAATGTATAAATTCAATTATATGTTTATTAATGAGGTCATAGTTAAAGGTGTTGTTGTACTGGACTACATTATAGTAAGAGGTGTCTATATTTTTGTCCTCCCAGCTACACACATGAGGTCAGAATATTAGGAACACCTCTAAATAAAATGTACAGTGGTGTGAAAAAGTGTTTGCCCCCTTACTGATTTCTTATCTTTTTGCATGTTTGTCACACTGTAATGTTTCAGATCGTCAAACAAATTTATATATTAGTCAAAGATAACACAAGTAAACACATCATGCAGTTTTTAAATGAAGGTTTTTATTATTAAGGGAAAACAAAATCCAAAACTATATAGCCCTGTGTGAACAAGTGTTTGCCCCCCTGTCAAAACACTGGTTTATCGCACCTGAGTTCAATTTCTCTAGCCACACCCAGGCCTGATTACTGCCACACCTGTTCGCAATCAAGAAATCACTTAAATAGGACCTGCCTGACAAAGTGAAGTAGACCAAAAGATCCTCAAAAGCTAGACATCATGCCGAGATCCAAAGAAATTCAAAACCAAATGAGAAAGAGAATAATTGAGCTCTATCAGTTTGGAAAAGGTTATAAAGCCATTTCTAAAGCTTTGGGACTGCAGCGAACCACAGTGAGAGCCATTATCCACAAATGGCGAAAACATGGAACAGTGGAGAACCTTCCCAGGAGTGGCCGGCCGACCAAAATTACCCCAAGAGCGCAGCGACAACTCATCCAAGAGGTCACAAAAGACCCCACAACAACATCCAAAGAACTGCAGGCCTCACTTGCCTCAGTTAAGGTGAGTGTTCATGACTCCACCATAAGAAAGAGACTGGGCAAAAATGGTTTGCATGGCAGAGTTCCAAGACGAAAACCACTGCTGAGCAAAAAGAACATAAAGGCTCGTCTCAGTTTTGCCAGAAAACATCTTGATGATCCCCAAGACTTTTGGGATAATACTCTGTGGACAGACGAGACAAAAGTTGAACTTTTTGGAAGGTGTGTGTCCCATTATGTGTGGCGTAAAAGTAACACCGCATTTCAGAAAAAGAACATCATACCAACAGTGAAATATGGTGGTGGTAGTGTGATGGTCTGGGGCTGTTTTGCTGCTTCAGGGCCTGGAAGACTTGCTGTGATAAATGGAACCCTGAATTCTGCTGTGTACCAAAATATCCTGAAGGAGAATGTCCGGCCATCCGTTTGTGACCTCAAGCTGAAGCGAACTTGGGTTCTGCAGCAGGACAATGATCCAAAGCACACCAGCAAGTCCACTTCTGAATGGCTGAAGAAAAACAAAATGAAGACTTTGGAGTGGCCTAGTCAAAGTCCTGACCTGAATCCAATTGAGATGCTGTGGCATGACCTTAAAAAGGCAGTTCATGCCCGAAAACCTTCCAATGTGGCTGACTTACAACAATTCTGCCAAGATGAGTGGGCCAAAATTCCTCCACAGCGCTGTGGCAGACTCATGGCAAGTTATCGAAAACGCTTGATTGCAGTTGTTGCTGCTAAGGGTGGCCCAACCAGTTATTCGGTTTAGGGGGCAAACACTTATTCACACAGGGCTTTGTAGTTTTGGATTTTGTTTTCCCTTAATAATAAAAACCTTCATTTAAAAACTGCATGATGTGTTTACTTGTGTTATCTTTGACTAATATATAAATTTGTTTGACGATCTGAAACATTACAGTGTGACAAACATGCAAAAAGATAAGAAATCAGTAAGGGGGCAAACACTTTTTCACACCACTGTAGTCCAGTACACCACCACCTTTAACTATGACCTCATTAATAAACATAATTATACATTTATGACAATTATACCAAAACCAAACATTCTGAGATTCATAAATACAGATGTTAAGGCGGGAGTGTTGAAATGAACTACATACAACTGTACAGGTGTGACTATTAATGTGGCCAGGCACTGCATTAATCAATTTAATTTGTTTTGGACAAAACATAGACATTTTCCCCAAAAAATATTTTAATTGTAGATGGTCACAAATATTTTCTCAGGTGGAACAGAACAGTATTTGATGAAATAATATTGAATAAATAAATGTAACCGAGTCCCACACAGTTGATCAGACATTAACGTGCCGTGTACTGTATATGCAAGCTACATTCACTGTCCTTTACATGCCCCAAGTCCATCTTAAAATAAACTTTAATCATCAGGAGAAACCAAGGCGCTAATAAAATGTAACATAAGAAAAACGCACAAGCACAGAGAGGTGCTATTAAAGTTGTGGACCTGTTTCCCTTTTAAAACACATTTGGACTTCAACGCTTGGGTCTCACTGGGCATGCTCACATTTGCTTATACAACCTGAAAGAATCAAATCACATTTCAGTGTCAGTGACAAAAACCGAGTTTAAAAGCACCTCCAGTTGAGCCTACACTTTGGCCTACCGCACAACTTCAGCTCTTAACTGGAGAAAAAAAACAAACAAACAAAAAACAAACAAACAAAAAAAAAAACCCAGAAAAAAAGGCGAGAACACGTTTGTTGGAAGAAGAGTTAAACATCATCAGTGTATCGAATCAGTGTATCAGCATCTTAAGTTTCTTCAGAGCACAGAAATGGACATTCATATTCACCTAACACAAACAAATTACAGTAAAAAAACCAACCCAACAGGAACAAAGACAGGGGAAATTAGGGAAAAATGGGGAAATGATAGGGAATAATAAAACTCTCATTGTGCCCCTTAAGATGTGTACAGACTAAATGAAAAGTGAATTTTCATCTAACCAAGATCAGCCAGATTCAGTACAGATGTTAGCTGTAGTCAGTCACTGTGTATATCAGTAATAATGACTGCTGTGTGTGCGTGGTATGTCTAAGTATCAACTACACAGGTTTAAAATGAGACTGATGTGACACTGCAGGAACATTACAGGAACTTCGTGCTGCTTCTAATTTTCATGTCACGTTCAGTCTGACACACCTTTAAGGCTACAACAAAAATGGGCGGAGTGTTCACATTCCAGCTGCTGGGACTTCACGGAGAGGCAACTGGAGGTTTTTACTTTTTCCATATGGTGTAGAAAACCCAGCTGATACAGTACATTTAAGGGTTGTACACAACAAAATATGACAGCATGAAAACAATGTACAGTATTGCTTTGTCCCCATTTAGGGTGTATAAAAAAATCTGAAAGGATAATTCCAGTTTCTCACAATTTAGGTCTTATTTTTGTAGTTTTATCATTTCTGCTGCTTATGGTAACACTGTGTAACCACAGAAGTAACTGCTTAACAAGATAAAGAGAGCATAGCTGCAACAAAGCTTGACCTGGAAGAAAGATGATTGGGTGATCAGACAAGTTTCAAATATGTTAATTGTGAAGCTTCTTATTCGAAGGTTTCATCTAAGTGTTCTAATACATATAACCAACAAACAACTCAAAACACATTAAAAGAAAACACATTTAACTTAACCTCCCCCTTTCCCACGCAATCCCTACACCTTCCCTTCCCCTCAGTCATTTCCCTTACCTCCTTCCCCCGTTTGTGCCCATCCCCCCCAAAGTGCCTTCTCAATTGCATATCCTATTTCCTGTTTCCCCCTGTCAAGACATGAGGCAAGTGGTTGACAGATTTTCTCAAAACTCCTAAGCCTGTCCTTCAAGGTGATTCTGATTCTCTCCAAGTGAAAAGTATCAGTTATCTCTGTCAACCATAGTTTTAGTGAGGGTACCTCACTCACTCTTTTATAAAATGTTAGGATACGTTTTTTGCAGCAATAGGACCACAAGTCAGGAGGCTCTGCTGTTCCTTCTTAAGCTTTTCATCTCCCTGAGACTCCCAAAATTATTTTAAAAACTGGTTCTGGCTCAATCTGGACCCCAAGTATCTTTGAAAGCAATATGAACGTATCAGTCCCATATTCTTGTAATTTAGCTACTGCGGATTCACATTTTTCACACTGAGGTGAATCCTCTAGGAATACGAAGCATCTTTGTAAATTAATGTAACCACTGTTGTGTGGGTTTTGACCTGCATTACAACATTAGCATATTGTATCAACAACCTTAGAACTGAGAAAAGGATACAGCTCTGAGTAGGAGGGCACACACACCACCTCTTTGGAAAAGTCCACAGCACACGACAGCTTTCCCAGCTGTTCTTCATACAGATTCAGAGCCTCTGTCAGATTCACGCTGTTACCCTGATCACCAGTATCAGGAAAAAAACATGTCACAAGACACACAGACTGTAGCTAGTGATATTTTCCACCTTAATTGGAGGCTAGAAGTGGAAGTGGTGTGATCTAATGCTTAGCCAAAATAAGATGAATAGTGACTCTTCCCATCGTTGATTTGCCACACCATAAAACATTTTTCTTTGATGATCTGAAACTAAATGTTGTGTTAAAATATTGACCATAAAGCTTAGATCTCAGAAGAATGCCAAGCCTCCCATTCTCTTCCTGAATGATATCCAACCGGTGGAACTGTCATATTGCAGTATCCCATTTTAACAGAAAATACATCAAGTCAAGGAATCAGATACTCCAGTTGCAAAAGTTTTCAGTAAAAACAAGTTAGAACAGATAGAAGCATCCAAGCTTCTCCATATATCATCACACCCATTATTCATGTCAGCTGGAGTCCACTGAACAAATGTGTATTGATTTTAACAACTGATATAAACAACGCCAATATTAACATACTTGGTACTTACTAAAAGGACGAGACTTACCTGTGTAAAATATTTCCCATTTGGATGCAGGACCTTTATTGACAGATCTAAGATGAGACCTAGAAACTCCCATGTCGAGTCTACAAAAAAACAGACAGGGTCAGCCGAGGGCCAAAGACAACTTGGAACACACACACACACATAAATAGACACACACACACACACACATACATACATACATACATGATATACAGTATATGTGTAAAATTACCTTCTTCTGGCTCTGTGGATATTGGAACTGCAGTGAGGTCATTAATTACGTAATCAAACAACCTTCCTTCCTGGACATACTTCTTCAGCACAGGGACACAGTCCTCAACCAGTATCTAAAAACACATGAGACAAGGAGCCCATTCAACTTTTGTGTCAAATTATGTCAAATCTGAAGCTGTAAACATGCTGGGCCTGTAACAAGAAGCAAGATGGATGGATCATGAAAAGTGGTTCCTTTTTAACTGGGCTCCATCACAGTGGAGAAAAATCAATTCACTAAGACTAAAGAAAAAAATCTCCACTTATTTCTAGACTTACTTTTAATATGTGGAAATTATTCCTAGTGCTTTTCATGTTTCTTCTTCTACTATACATATGTGATTATAGGAGAACCCAGGGTTAACAGAGTCAGTTGATAACCAGTTTCGTGGTAATGATTATTTAGGATCACTGATGTTAGTCTCAGTAAAAAGTTGAGAAGATTTTAGTCCAGTAACATATGGATATTTATGCAGTACTCACTTGGTAATGGTCTCCTGTCAAGCTGTCAAGAATATTGCCACAAGTTTTCCTCATGTGCATTTTGCACCCGTCTATCACCTTCTGGTCTATGTACAAACTTAGTTATGGAATGATCAATCAGTTGCAGGTGTACAATTATTCTTATTAGAAAACAACACTGCCCTAGACAGTATACAATACAGGAATAAAAAAGTTTCAGAACCCATAAAGGATATTTCCACCATGGTGATCATCTTTGGCTTTTGCTTGACCACCTCAGCAAGGATGCCTCCATCACCTCCTCCTAATATCAGCACCTCTTTTCCAGCATAATTCTCTTTTCCGCTACCCATGATGGCTTGGGTGTAGGCCAGATCACTCTCTGCCAGGTCTGCAAAGTACATCGATCATTTAAACACTAAAACAGCTTATTAAATCTTATAAATGATTTAAACCAACACAACAGTCAAATTTATTGATGCAAGTTTAAAACATTACTGTACACGAGACTTGTGACAGATAAATACATTTATATAAAACATTTATGGCTTCATCATGTGATAGATTAGCCCCAGCTTGCAACTCTCGTGTGTTACATGCACTCAGGTTACAGAGATCAACTTCCTTGAATGTGCAAATTTGAAACTTGCTGACTGTTTTAAGCCCAAACTGTCATTTCATAACATTCACCCAAATTCTGAAGGCATTTCTCGAACCCTCAGACTCTTCTAACCATATGGAACCAAAAATAATCCAGTCCAGTGCAGGAAAAATATAAATTTTGTCAGTTTTTCAGGTGAAATAATTAGCTTTTCAGAAAATTTAAATGGTTAAAATGGTTTTAGCAAATTTCAATTTAGCACATTCATGACAGATTATCTTTGCGGCTCGAATGTATGTACGCGAGAGTCGCAAGCTGGGGCTAGTGATGGATGTACTCTAGAGTATATATACTTACTAATATCTCCATTGAGTACGAGGATGTTTCCAAACTGCTGTGAGTGCAATATTTTTATATTTTGGTATGCAGACTCTTCTTCGTACACCACCCGGTCTATGTCATACTCAATCAGTCTGCCGTCAGCTGTGGGCCAGTATCGGTCTACCTTTGCTCCTCTTACGAGGGCTGGGAGCCTTGGGGGGTGATGATAAAGGCAATGAATCTATATTATTGCAAGATGCAAGACATACCGTATGGTGGTCACCTTTCTATAACATGAGCAAAGCCATGAAACCCCCAATTCTTACCTTTTAATCCTTGTAATACTGCCATTTAAGATAACCTTTAGCTTATTTTCCAGTGCATTTAAAAGCTGTGGAGAAACAACAGAGTCTGCAACAATGTGTATCAACCAGTGGGATACTTTAGAGTGCTACTTTGCCAAACACATGCTGTCTATGGGAAAGTGCATGTTTGGGCAGCAAGTAAACATGTGCAAGGAATAATGCAGTGTGTCTTAGTTAAGTGTTGGTTTAAATCATTGTCTGTCACATATCCTAGTGTTCTATACTCTTTTTACTAACCCTGTGTCCTTGTCATATTTTGCCCCACACATTTTCATGCTTCAAGGAATCTCTGTATATGGACTATTGTGTTTAGCTATCAAGCTGTAAAACTACATTTTATGAGTGATAAAAGAAGTTATTATATCCCAAACAAGCTTAAAATATGTCATATGATATGCTGCACTGTAGCACTTCCTGTGTGTTTTGGCAGGTAATGAATAAAGTATTGTGTGTGTGTTCATCACCTACATTGTCTAATTCTGCAATGTTGTCCTCTTCATAACACTGCAAATCAATAGTGACCAAACCATGGGAGTGCACACGCAGAACAACAAGCCTATGAATTTAATTGATAAAGAGACAGACACAAAGGAAGTAACTGATCAGAAAATTGGTATTTCACGCTCTGCTGCCTTCTTGTTACTTGTAAAAGGTTTATTGGTTCTCGCATTGCAAAGAACTTTGAACAGCAATACATTTTTACAAAGGAAAGCATCACTATGCCATTGCTGCAGCATAATCCACCTCTTTGCTGACCACCAGTATGCTCAGTATGTCCAGCATTTAACCAAATAATGGTTAAATACTAGAAATGCAACACCACCCCGAAATGGTATGATACCGCCACAATAAAAAGTCCATGATAGGATATTATCATGACATTAAAAAAAATGAAGAAAAAATGGCCCTTACTAAATAATAGAATTTTTTAATGAAATGAAATAAAACAACATATTATTGCCACAGCTGGATCTTGTAAACAAAATGAGTCATACTTGCAGTGGAACATCAGTGCTTTAGTACCCAGGTTTAACTTTCTCTGTCTGATGGCCACGCTAACCGGTATTCCCCCCCAACCACTGGGGCAGCAGTAAAAAAAAAACTTCTGTTTGGCACACCACAATGGAGAAGAAAACACAAAACTACAGAAGGACAAGCCACATAATGGTGACATTTTTGCTTTTCTGGAGGTGTTTTTCAAACTTCAAGGCCAACTTTTACGAGAGAAAATACTTTAAGGATGGTTACTAAATGGTTAGTTTTGCATATGTGAGTCCAGTTTGTTTGCTCATTAAAGTGTAAAGCACAGTCATGCCCAGTTGTGTGCCAGTCCTAAATGGGGCTAGTATTGCCAGCATAGTTTCCACCACTTTCATTTCTTTAAACAGGAAAACTAAAATGCTGCCACACAACAGCTATAAAAGAGGACAATGGCTCCATTGTCTGTTATGTCTGTTATGTCAGTTTCAAATTCCGCAAACTTAACAAACTAGTTATACTAGCAAAATGAAAGAAAGTCAACTTTCGGCTTTTCCCGTTTAGGGGTCGGCACAACGAATCGACACAATGATGACTCGCATGTTGACATTTGGCACGTGTTTTACGCTGGATGCCCTTCCTGATGCAACCCTGATTCGAACCCGGGCCGCAGCGGCGAGAGCGCTGCGCCTTAACCACTAGCCTACCAGAGACGGCCCAGTTATACTAGCAACATAACTACAATTATATGTAACATCCTAGTAGATAATGGCACAATCCCTCAACAGTATCAAGAAAATTTTCTATCATACTACAAAACTACAAATATAGTACATCACTATTAAATACAGCTTACATCAAAAGCGACTACACACCTGTGTGTCAACCCTAAAATGTTGTGATTCAAACACACCTGCAGCTGTGACAATATTAAAATCTAATGTGCATGTTTATGCAAGATATGAAGCTGATATTACGTAATAAACTATAAACACAGATGTTTATAGATATTCTTGCATCTGTAACACACGTCAAAAACAAAATCAAACAAAAAAACCAAACTTTTTTAAATTGTCAAAATAATAGTGGAGGAAGCATAAAGTGTCGTTCTTACCGGCCATTCTTGCCTACAAAAGTAGCAAGGTATCCATGACCATTTGTATCATGGACAGTCTCTGTCATTTCCTGCTCATGAAATATGGACAATAGACCAGGAACAGTCGAAGCAGAGTCAACTGTGGAAAAAAAAAACAGAATTTGGAACAATGAAAATAAATAATTTGCCCATATTATATATCATCTACATCAGTGGTGGAAGAAATACTCAGATTAACAGCACATGCAGCTACAGTACGCCAGGAGATGAATATATGATTTTAGTCAGTCAATTTCTGCATAACTTAAAGCAAGTTGTACAAAAAGTTAGATTTTAACACCGTTTATGGTTGTAAAGCATTTATATAGCTCACCAATGATCTGGTAACATAAAATAGCCAAGTAGGTGTGTTGGACTTTGGCAGTAAATACCAACTATCAGGCCTCTTACTCTGGTTTGGCTGCAAACAAGGTCAGTGGTTCATTATGGAAAAAGAATGCTGTAATTCATAATTTAGCAACAATGAAATGGCTATTAATTCTCTGACCAACTAATGTTTAAGGTTAGCATCCCTAACTGGGATCCATTACTTATATATATATATAGCAACAAGGCAATGTAAAAATACTCTATTAGAAATAAATGTCCATTCAATGTTATGGGCAAGTAAAAGTACATTAGTACATTAGTAAAAGAACTCAGTGAGCAGGTAGAATGTCCCCTGACAGTGTAATATCATTATGCTTTATTCTTGTGAATTATCATCAAATTACTACAAATGAATTAACATGTAAACAGCATTTGCAGCTGCGTTGTTTAATGTACTGCAGCCAAAACACTGCATTTTACATAAGAAGATCTTAACTGGTAAAGTAACAAGTAATTTCAGCTATCAAAAAATGGTCTTGGCGAAAAAATTACAATTACTCCCTCAAAAATGTGGTAAAGTGTAACTATAGAGCAGCAGTAAATAGAACAGCCTAGTGCACTTAAGTGTAGTATTTGAGTACTTAATTAAGCATCACTTGTCTGCATAATATAATAACAATACTTATGTATTTCATGACACCACATTCTTGCCAGATAAGCAGACTTTCTCTTCTCTTAATGAAAGTCACGGTTAGTTAAGTAACGTTACTTAGATACTAAGCATTTCTCATTTTTGGTACTTTTATACACCACTCACTCATTTAATTCCACAGGGAAAATAATTTACTAGTTTTAATAAATAATGCCTACATGTTAATACACTGTGTGATAGACTTCTTCCATCTCTACCTTTAACTTTTAGATGTGGTTCAAAACCTAAATATAACTAAATGCTTACAGTTGAATATTTTATTAGTGACACATAAAAACTACAAAAATGGCCGAAAATGCGCCACCTCCTGGGCGATGGATTATGCGCATGTTAGCCAAAGCTGCATTGGGTCGCTAACCATCGTAACGCGACTGACAGACGATAAGTTGACGTGTAACGTTTAGTAACACACGACCATGAAATAGTTAAGCTACAATAACTTTAAGCTTTAAACGTCCGCTTGCCAAAAATACATATCTATACACCACTGTCAGCCATGTTTCATCAAAATCAATACAACTTCTGAAGGGCAGTGACAGACTAGCAGGTTAACATTAGCAGGCTAACCAGCTAGCTAGCGTGCAGTTCTGATGCTTTTCCTGTATTCTGAATGCATTGGTTGCACTGTGCCGCCCACTGCGCCCACCTTACCTGCCGTAGAGAGGTTGAAGTCGAGAGTATAATGTCGCAGTGCCATGTCTTAGTGCAACCGTCACCCATGCCTGGAGTAGGCTGCGAATATTTTATCTGCAGAGACAGAGGGACGGCCCTGCTCCTACTGCTGCTACCAACTGCAGTCGCCAGAGCAGGCGTGGCTACCACCGTGCTGAGTGTGGGGCGGCCGAGAGCAGATAGGAAGAAGTGAGACCACAGGCAAATTTTCCTTTGGGACGGCCTGCCCATAAACTGGGGGGGAAACCCAGCACAGAGCAGCATGATTTCTGGTGGTAATACAGTTATAGCAAAATTTAAATGCTAATAATTGTAATGATTATCCATTTATTTTGTATTTTTAAATTGTAGTTAACCATTTGAGTGATATTTTTATGACACGGATCTAAATGCATCCAGGTGGCACCTACATTTTGTTGGTTTTTAATGTGAAACTTAATCAATTATACCTACATCACCTTCAAAACTAAAGAACAAAATATATGGCCATACAAATACAATTTGCCCTGTGACCCACTCTACAACTGAATTGCACTATGAACCCAAACAAATGCCTGAACTTAATATGCTGTATTTCTTAACCCACCCTTTTCAGCATATTCAGCCACTGACTAAAACGTGTTTAAAATATTCTGTTATTAGTTCCATACAAATCATATGCATCAATATATCCACTCAAAAGCATGCCAGTGAAATAACTAGATAGCAGCCAAAAGGCCAGCCATCTCCACCACACTTCCTGCTACACAACCCTCAGTCATGTTTTAGGCTGTGTGAGATGTCCTACTGAAGGAGGAATAGAAACAATATAGTCAATTAAAAGTGAGAGTGTGGGGTGGAACTGGGCTTTTTAGATATATAAATAATGCACACGTACAGGACGAAGAGCAGGTGGACTTTTGTAGTTATGAAGAGTGTGAGCCAAATTAAAGAAATAACTCAAAATTTTGAGAAAATGCACTTTCTAGAGTTATTGCTAAGAGATGAGAAGATTAATACTAGTCTCCTTTCAGCCTGTCAAATATGAAGCTGCAACAGTTCCTCAAGCTCGCTAATTAACACATTGTACTCTTTTCATTTATTCTGTCCAAAAACAAAAGACTAAACATAGTAAACTGAGGCCATATGGTAACTATACCATTGTACTGTAACAAGGAAAAGTAATGCAGAGAAAGCACAGTGAGCATCACACCTGCAGTCTGCAGGGGTTTCAGCCAGCTGCAGCAGGCATTTACTCTGGGGGAGGATCAAGGCAAAGCAGTGATCCCTGCATCCACCAGAGGGTAACTTAGGCAGGTCTAGGATCTCCTCGCCTTCCACAGTTGCCTCACAGCTGCTTTGCAGTAGTACCGACTGCTCAGGGGGTGATGATGCATCATGGCAAACAAGGAGACTGCCCTCAGCTGTCAAGAGCAGAAACCTCTTCTTCAACTGTTTGAAAATAAATCCACCTGGAAGAGAAGCAGGTTGAAAATAACAGAAAATAGTAGTAAATCATGATGCTGGAATAAACAAGTTTAATCATAAGCACAAAACACTCAGAACTTAAGAATGGTCTCAGTAATCGCAGAACAGTGGGAATACTTCAGCTATAATGGTGATTTCTCAGTGAAGTAGAGAATTAACTCACCATACATCCTGAGCATCGGATGGTGGATTGCTGAGGCGTTCATGTTCACGCTCAGTGTATCCCGGTCTGAACAGGCTCTGAGAGAAATGTTGGAGGACTGGACCGGTGGAAAGCACACGAGGCCCAATGTGAGTTTTAATGCTTGGGCTTAATCCCCATTCAGATGGGATGGGGCACAGTTCAGCAATTCACTATGAAAATGGGTTGTGATGAGATGTTACATGCAAACTGCTGTAGTGTGTGATGTTAGTGTGCTAAAAGATCAGATCAGATTCAACTGTTTTTAAACATTTCTCTTTAATATCATTTCCGTTTTCCATTCACTGAGTTAAAAGTAATTTTAAATCAGTCTCAGTGAACCTCATAGGCGCGGACTCTTTCGTTCAAATCCAAAAAGGCCAAACAAACACATGTTGAGATTAAATTCAGAAGATATATTAGTCCTCAAAACAGGAGCAGGACTCAGAAAAGCAAAGTAAAGAATCAAACAAGAACCAGCCACCAAAAATGGAGAGGACTCACAATAGACTCAATCTACTACAGCAGAATCAGAAATACTTGTATTGCACCACCTGCATGTCTCCGATGCTCAGAATGACACCAACAAAGGATGAGCCTGGGCCTCCAATGTTGTGGAGAACCACCAAGAAAACAACAGTTAAGAGGAGATGGAGGCTAGAAACTTGATTTTTAAATATTAAAGAGAAAAGTGACATGTACCGTAAGAGTAAATTGATCAATCACTTAATAAATATATTGAGAAAGAAATGTAATTTATTGATTATATGCCCTATTATTCCAGCCTATCTTTAAATAAGTCATACTGAAAGATGAACATGTTAATCATGCTTACAAAATTACAAGCAATCGTTTTATGCAAGCACTTATGAAAAGACAGGTCATGTTCAGTCTTGTCTTTTGAAAGTTCATTGTCTTGTCATCTGTAATCCTGCACATTTAGGTGGCTGTTCAGACGACAACCTTAGCACTAATAAAGGAAAATTAATTTGTATATAAAGACAAAAAGGCAAAGTGTGAAACTAACATCGCAGCAACTGCATACTGGTAGGTACTGTATCTGCTAATTGTTGCTACTTGTGTCAATGCTTAGGTACTTTATTACAGTATGAATACCATTTTCATATAAAAGTATGTTTCTTTACACCTCAAGGACACTGCAACTCCTTGCCATTTACTAAAGACAAGATGTTTTTGTAATGAAAACACCTCATTTTGTAATAATGTTCCTGTTGTTAATAATTAATGAAGTCTTATGTAAAATTATTTTTCTTTACAAAATAAATTTGTTGAGGAAGGCAGGAAGTTGATGTTGACTAGGAAAGCTGATCCTCATACTGCTTTCTGAAACAGTCTCCAACAGGGAAGAAGTCCCAGCAGCGCTCCTGGTACATCTTCCACACATACGACTCCTAAAACAGAGTGTGTAAGAACAAGAATTCAGAGGAGGACACGGCATGAGACAAGAAGCGGAAAGACTAATGTAATCAGTCAGTGGGAGTCATGATAACAAAATTATTCAGACTGACCTGTCCAGTGTGCTCTGTCTCATCTTTGTTGATAAGATACATTAAGAAGAACCTGAAAAGGACTGGCATGCTACTATCTACACATACGCACATACACAGGCACATACAGTTGAATACGTGCACATGCTGTAACACTTCGGAGGTACTTACATGTAATTAGCCAAGTTATGTTCATCAAATGTATGAGTCTCAAAGCCGTGTGGTGTTGTATCAAAGTAGTCACTTCCAATGCCACATATGAAGCATTTTGTCTGCACAAAATGAGTAATGAGGTTTAAACCCATCTTGTGCACTGATCAGAGTAGAGTAAAAGTGTTAACCTAAAGTGTTATTATACCTCCATGTCTTCCTTGACCTGCTCTTGTTGGTCTCTGAGTTCTCCAAAGGCATCAATGATGAGACCTACAGCACCATAAAATACCATGCAATATCATTAGAAGGTCAGGACAGAGATGTCTGTCTAGTGTCAAACATACCTTAAAATTCATTTCCTATATCAACAGTTTCAAATATGTCTGTTCCTTTTTTTGTCTTATGTATTCATGATGTAAAAGCACTTTGAATTATCCTTTGCATAAGAAAATGGGCTTGCCTTGCCTTATTTGTAAGTTCACTCCAATATTAGTACCCAATACATGACAATTTAAATTCCACACCAGCATCATCTTTACCCTGAATAATAGCCAACAGAATGACAATGACGAAGAAGAAGAAGGTTATATCAAAGACCACTCGATAAAGCTCATATTCATCTCCAGCGGGATCCTCAATCTCATCTCCAATGCCTCCACCAGCACGCACACCCACGTACATATGGAACAGGTAACACTGCAGGGTTAAAAAAAACATACAGTACACATCACTGTAGAAGTGGTGCAGACATGAATGTATCACAAGCACATGTTTTTATATCACCACCGACTTACAGTCATCATGTCATCACATTTCATATCTGGTTCATCTTCATCTTCACTCTTGTTGTAAAACTTGCGGAAGAAATTGAAGGCGACTACAGTGTAAAGGTACACAACCACAGCCAGCAAGCCCACTGTCATCATGAGCTGTAAAGAGCAGAGGCAAGAAGGAAACAGTTACCACATTCAATCAGAAGCAAAACTAATACTGAGTTGTTTTTTGCACTTGCCTGTTTGCCATTGTGTGTGACTGAGGACAGGATAGTGCGCAGAGTCTTGACACCCATGGCAATATCCAGCAAGTGACAAGCGAAGAAGAAGTTGTTGTAATGCCCAAGCAAAGACATTATCAGGTACCAGCAAAGATAAAGGAAAGTCTATAAAGAGAAACAGGAAGTTTTCTTTCACTTGGTAGAGGCCAAGGTCATGTTCACATGGAATATTATAGTATTAGACCTGTATATGATATATTAAAGTATAGTGTGCTATACAGTAGGTTTGCTTACGCCATCTGTAAACACAACACCAAATTTCCATATCTGGTACTTGATGTCAATGGCAGTCGCCCTAAAAAGATACAATATTAGTTGATGTCCATTTAAAGGATAGGGGGCTAGTGATTTTTTTATATTTTTGTTATTGTCAACAAATCCCATGAAAAGACCCACTGTAACAGTGTGACTCACTGATGTGTTTTTAATAGTTTTTGGACAACAATAGCAGAAATGAATAAAATCATTAAATCAGGTTCTGGATACAGAGACATAAAGTCATTGTTGGTTTTGGTCTGTTCATAGATTGTTTTAAACAATAATCAAAATATAGTTATATAATATAATTTCAGCTTTAAAGCACAGTGTCTTATGTGCATGATTGCACATCTTTATAGTACCATACCATGCAAACACTGAGTTGTCTGGTTTCTCCTGTTTCTTCTCATGTTGCTGACTCACATCCAGGGAGGCTAAATCAACCCCCAGGAGTTCAGCGATTCTTTCTCTGCCATAAATGTCCCCATACTTATCCAGAACCTAAACGAAGACATACATAACATCATAACATGGTCCACAATGCCTATTTTAAAACAAAATTAAAAACAACTCACCTTTCGTTTTACGAATTTATCCCAATAG